GGTGGATCAGAGCCTGATCAACCAGGCTGTTGCTGCTGGCTGCACGCAAACCAACGTATGAGCCACAGCCCGGCTGCTCAGGAACCGACTTTAGGTGTTTGTCCAGTGCCAGCTTAAAGACTGCCAGGGGTCTGTTGGTAATCCCCCTTATGTATGCTGGGAGGCAGTTGAACAGTCTCGGGCCCCTGACACTTATTGTATGGTCTCTTAACGTGCTAGTGACACCCCTGCTTTTCATTGGGGGGATGTTGCATCGTCTGCCAAGTCTTTTGCTTTCGTAGTGAGTGATTTTCGTGTGCAAGTTCGGTACTTGTCCCTCTAGGATTTTCCAGGTGTATATAATCATGTATCTCTCCCGCCTGCGTTCCAGGGGATACAGGTTTAGGAACCTCAAGCGCTCCCAGTAATTGAGGTGTTTTATCTCCGTTATGCGCGCTGTGAAGGTTCTCTGTACATTTTCTAGGTCAGCAATTTCACCTGCCTTGAAAGGTGCTGTTAGTGTGCAGCAATATTCCAGCCTAGATAGAACAAGTGACCTGAAGAGTGTCATCATGGGCTTGGTCTCCCTAGTTTTGAAGGTTCTCATTATCCACCCTGTCATTTTTCTAGCATATGCGATTGATACAATGTTATGGTCCTTGAAGGTGAGATCCTCCGACATGATCACTCCCAGGTCTTTGACATTGGTGTTTCGCTCAATTTTGTGGCCAGAATTTGTTTTGTACTCTGATGAAGATTTAATTTCCTCGTGTTTACCATATCTGAGTAATTGAAATTTCTCATCGTTGAACTTCATATTGTTTTCTGCAGCCCACTGAAAGATTTGGTTGATGTCCACCTGGAGCCTTGCAGTGTCTGCAATGGAAGACACTGTCATGCAGATTCGGGTGTCATCTGCAAAGGAAGGCACGGTGCTGTGGCTGACATCCTTGTCTATGTCGGATATGAGGATGAGGAACAAGATGGGAGAGAGTACTGTGCCTTGTGGAACAGAGTTTTTCACCGTAGCTCCCTCGGACTTTACTCTGTTGACGAATACTCTGTGTTCTGTTAGTGAGGAAATTATAGATCCATCGACCGACTTTTCCTGTTATTCCTTTAGCACGCATTTTGTGCGCTATTACGCCATGGTCACACTTGTCGAAGGCTTTTGCAAAGTTTGTATATATTACATCTGCATTCTTTTTGTCTTCTAGTGCATCTAGGACCTTGTCGTAGTGATCCAATAGTTGAGACAGACAGGAGCGACCTGTTCTAAACCCATGTTGCCCTGGGTTGTGTAACTGATGGGTTTCTAGATGGGTGGTGATCTTGCTTCTTAGGACCCTTTCAAAGATTTTTATATGGGATGTTAGTGCTATCGGTCTGTAGTTCTTTGCTGTTGCTTTACTGCCCCCTTTGTGGAGTGGGGCTATGTCTGTTGTTTTTAGTAACTGTGGGACGACCCCCGTGTCCATGCTCCCTCTCCATAGATGGAAAAGGCTCGTGATAGGGACTTCTTGCAGTTCTTGATGAACACGGAGTTCCATGAGTCTGGCCCTGGGGCAGAGTGCATGGGCATGTCATTTATCGCCTGTTCGAAGTCATTTGGCGTCAGGATAACATCGGATAGGCTTGTGTTAACCAAATTTTGTGGCTCTCTCATAAAAAATTCATTTTGATCTTCGACTCTCAGTCTGGTTAGCGGCTTGCTAACCAGACTGAGTCATATTGGGACTTGAGTAGCTCACTCATTTCCTTGCTGTCATCTGTGTAGGACCCATCTTGTTTAAGTAGGGGCCCAATACTGGACGTTGTTCTCGACTTTGATTTGGCATAGGAGAAGAAATACTTTGGGTTTCTTTCGATTTCATTTATGGCTTTTAGTTCTTCCCGCGATTCCTGACTCCTATAAGATTCCTTTAGCTTAAGTTCGATGCTTGCTATTTCTCTGACCAGTGTCTCCCTACGCATTTCAGATATATTGACCTCTTTTAGCAGCTCTGTTATTCTTTTCCGTCGCCTGTAAAGGGAGCGCCTGTCTCTTTCTATTTTTTTTCTACTCCTCCTTTTTCTTAGAGGAATAAGCCTTGTGCATACATCGAGTGCCACCAAGTTAATCTGTTCTAGGCATAAGTTGGGGTCTGTGTTGCTTAGTATATCTTCCCAGCTTATATCGGTTAGGACTTGGTTTACTTGGTCACACTTTGTTTTTTTTATTGAAGTTGAATTTGGTGAATGCTCCCTCGTGACTAATCTCATTATGTCGGTCTGGGGCTCCATGCATACATGTCTGAACCTCAATTATGTAGTGATCTGAGTATATTGTTTTTGATATGGTGACATTTCTTATCAGATCATCATTGTTAGTGAAGATGAGGTCTAGTGTATTCTCCAGTCTAGTAGGCTCTATTATTTGCTGGTTTAAATTGAATTTTGTGCAGAGATTTAAAAGCTCGTGTGAGTGTGAGTTTTCATCAGAGCTGCCTCCTGGTGTTATTACTGCAACAATATTACTGCAACAATTTGCAATATTCCTCCATTTTAGGTGCCTTAAGGTGAAATCCCCCAGGAGCAAGATGTTGGGTGCAGGAGCTGGAAGATTTTCCAGACAGTGGTCAATTTTTAACAGCTGTTCCTGGAATTGCTGGGATGTTGCATCCGGAGGCTTGTAGACTACCACAATGACTAGATTTTGGTTCTCGACCTTTACTGCTAAAACTTCCACTACATCATTTGAGGCATTAAGCAGTTCTGTGCAAACAAGTGACTCTGCAATGTACAGGCCAACCCCCCCCTTCCTTTTTGCCTGTTCACTCTGTCATATCTGTATAGGTTGTAACCTGGGATCCATATTTCGTTGTCCAAGTGATCCTTTATGTGGGTCTCAGTGAAAGCCGCGAACATTGCCTTTGCCTCTGCAAGCAGTCCACGAATGAAAGGTATTTTGTTGTTTGTTGCTGGCTTTAGACCCTGTATATTTGCAAAGAAGAATGTCATCGGACTGGTGGTATTGTTGGTACTGGGGGGGATTTTTTTTTCCGGCATTAGTATCTGTATCTGTTGGTTTGGAGTGGAGGCCATCGACTGTGGTTCCACTCCAGGAATGACTGGATTTGGTGTACGATTTCTGCCATTTCCTGCCAGTTTTTTTTCCTTCCTGGCACTAAAAAACCTCTCCCTCTTGAGTGGCTGTGGCTACCCAGGTTTTCCCATGGCCTGGATGTTTTGTATCTTTTTGTCCCCTTTAGATGGTGTGCCTAGCAATTTAAGTTATAGCACAGTCTTTCCTGTACTGAAGAGGTACACATTTCAGGGTGAAAAAGCTTACAGGAAGGGAGTTTGCATTTTCCTGTTGTCATGTGGGCATGGCACGTCCCGTCTGTTTTTCCAGATTTCCCATGTCTGCAGATACCAAGTGCATAGTATGTGCACAGGCTTGGTTTCCGTTTGCCTTGGGTTTCTGTGACTGTATTTCCTGTTGGTGCATGTTTACCTGTCTTATTCCTATCCTCCCTAGCACCAACAATGGAGCTCCCACCAGTTGTTTTTGGTAATATATCCTCACTATTGCTAGTGGAGTCCTCTTGTTTGCTATTTCCTGTGGTATTTCTAGTTTGCAATATTGGTTTTATCTTATCTTTGACTACACTTGTTTCCCCACTACGGCTCCTGTCCCCTATGAGGTCATTTATATGTATTCCTTCCTCGCCCACAGGATGGGTATGGGGTGCGTAATAAACATATTAAACTATCTTCAGAATAAACTGAAAAAAAAAAACATCTGCTGCCAGTATGTCTCATGGTGACCACCAATACCATACTCAAGGTTATGTAAGATAAGATAAGATTTCGTTCGGATTTTTAACCCAGGAGGGTTAGCCACCCAGAATAACCCAAGAAAGTCAGTGCGTCATCGAGGACTGTCTAACTTATTTCCATTGGGGTCCTCAATCTTGTCCCCCAGGATGCCACCCACACCAGTCGACTAACACCCGGGTACCTATTTGCTGCTAGGTGAACATGACAACAACAGCTGTAAAGAAACGTGTCGAAATGTTTCCACCCGCCGGGAATCGAACCCGGGCCCTTCGTGTATGAAGCGGGAGCTTTAGCCACCAGGCATTTTGTAAACACAAACTAACAAGCCATCTCAAACACTAAACACAAATTGGACACATCACTTATATTTATTACACTCAAACCGAATTTAATATATATTAACATCCTGCCGCCTACGTTCCCGTTTAACCTTTCCAGTGTCATAAATAACAAAAAGGCACAATACCGTGACTGGAACGATACACAAATAACCCGCACAAAAAAGAGAGAAGCTTACGACGACGTTTCGGTCCGACTTGGACCATTGACAAAGTCACACAGTGTGACTTTGTAAATGGTCCAAGTCGGACCGAAACGTCGTCGTAAGCTTCTCTCTCTTTTATGTGCGGGTTATTTGTGTATGTTTCCAGTGTCATGATCAGAATTAATTAACTAGGCACCTGTGTCTGACTGTTTACGAGTTTTGCAGTTTGAAACTAGGTAAGACTAGGAGATGGTCTTCACTACACTATTAGTTCTGGAAAATATACCCTGACTTTTCTCACTGTAAATAAAGCATTACCACTTTTTTTTTCCTTGCCTGTGTGACCTAATTCATATCTGCGTAAATAACTCATTATGATTTTGACCAGTTATAAACACGTAAATAGTTCATTACCACTTGTTCAGCTATCAAAACTTTGGGGTCCAGTCCCTGGACCCATTATGTACCACTGTAATCTTTTGACTGCCGTCCACGGGATGGGTATGGGGTGCATAATAAACATATTAAATTAAACTGTTCATTATCTGGCTATAAGAATATTGTAAATAAAAAAAAAGTAATTATTGGCCTCTCGACAGCAGGTATTAAACAAGATTATAATTTAGCTACAAACTATTACAGAGAAAGATGTTCTAAAAAAGAGTAGATACAGCAGTGTGGTATTATTTGCCCTTAAACCTTGACCTTCACTGACCTTGTTCATGTGGAGTTCATCCACGGGGTCAGGGGAGAACACACCTCGGCTGCTTGACCTGGTTTGTTCTTGACCCTCCGTCAAGCTTCCTGTGTTGTTGATGACGGCGCCACCAGTGTCCTGGTCTGGCCGCTGGGCCTCAGCCTGAGCGGCAATCCTTGTGGCCTGACCTTGCCTTTGTTGCTCTGCTTCAATGGATATACCTGTTGGTCCATTGACATACCTCGTGTCATGCTCTTGAATGCGTTGCTCTTCTTCAACAGATATTCCTGTTGGTCCGTTAATAAACCGTGTGTCCTGGTGAGGCCAGCGTTGTTCTACTTCGACGGATGTGCCTGTCGGTCCGTTGATGAATCTAGCAACCCCGTCTAAGCCCTGTTGCTCGGCTTCAACAGGTATGTCCGGTGGGCCGTTAAGGAACCTTAAGACTTCGCTAGGTGCTGAAGGCTCCAGCTGAGGCACCACCACCGCTTGGGTGCCACCCAGCTCCCTCAACTCTGGCACTCCGTCCAAGACTGGAATAATGTCTTGCGACCTCGCTCGGTGGCCCAATCCCAGACACAACACTAACGCAAAAACCCACATTTTACGAATGGAATTCATAGTATTTAATTGTTTATATTAATAATTACTAACAAATATACTGAGGCAGAAAAACTTACAAACGCAGATTTTTAAATGTCATTAACTTTTGCTAATCAAATCACATTTTCAAGTAGCGTTTCCAATACGAAATTCTGTAAGGGAAATGCATGATTATTTGTCATGAGAAAATAATGTACTGGGTGACATGAGAACTAATAATTATGGAAAGTTTTGATGTCATTTCCTATCAAAGGTCGATATCCACAACAGGTCAGTTGAAGGCTCTTGATCAGAGACACTGAAGATATCCGCCCTTCCAAGGATCAAACCTCAGTGCCTCCCATTCCCCAGGTACTGTAGAACCTCCATGCATTTACCATTTATCTTTCGAATATAATAATAATAAAGAAAACAAATGCCTCTTGTTAAGGAGTTAAATTCCAGCTGCCGGTCTTGTTACTAACCCAGTTGTGGTATTGAGGACAGTGTGCATGGAATACTCACTCTTTCGCGGTGGTTAGCGAAACAGATGGTCAAAGAGAACGGGGTCAAACAATGCACTGGTCAATAAGTAAATCCTACTATTAGGAAAGAAAAATATTCGTAAAGACAAACTGAACGATTTCTGCTGATTTCTCAGTTCATTTGTCAAAATAATGAGAACGCATCATCAGTGTAAGGTTAGCCTTACCGTTGGTAACTGGCTATCACTGTACAACGGGGAACCTATTGTGAACCAACAGTTGAGTGACATCTGTTTGATACATGTTTAATTTCTAGTGAAAGTCCTGGACAGTGTGAACACCTGCAGCTGCTATGGTGAACACGTCCCAATGATAGCTGATGTAACACGTCCCTATGATAGCTGATGTAACACGTCCCTATGATAGCTGATGTAACACGTCCCTATGATAGCTGATGTAACACGTCCCTGTGATAGCTGATGTAACACGTCCCTATGATAGCTGATGTAACACGTCCCTATGATAGCTGATGTAACACGTCCCTGTGATAGCTGATGTAACACGTCCCTATGATAGCTGATGTAACACGTCCCTGTGATAGCTGATGTAACACGTCCCTGTGATAGCTGATGTAACACGTCCCTATGATAGCTGATGTAACACGTCCCTATGATAGCTGATGTAACACGTCCCTATGATAGCTGATGTAACACGTCCCTATGATAGCTGATGTAACACGTCCCTATGATAGCTGATGTAACACGTCCCTATGATAGCTGATGTAACACGTCCCTATGATAGCTGATGTAACACGTCCCTATGATAGCTGATGTAACACGTCCCTATGATAGCTGATGTAACACGTCCCTATGATAGCTGATGTAACACGTCCCTATGACAGCTGATGTAACACGTCCCTATGATAGCTGATGTAACACGTCCCTGTGATAGCTGATGTAACACGTCCCTATGATAGCCGATGTAACACGTCCTATGATAGCTGATGTAACACGTCCCTATGATAGCCGATGTAACACGTCCCTATGATAGCTGATGTAACACGTCCCTATGATAGCTGATGTAACACGTCCCTATGATAGCTGATGTAACACGTCCCTATGATAGCCGATGTAACACATCCCTATGACAGCTGATGTAACACGTCCCTATGATAGCTGATGTAACACGTCCCTATGATAGCTGATGTAACACGTCCCTATGATAGCTGATGTAACACGTCCCTATGATAGCTGATGTAACACGTCCCTATGATAGCTGATGTAACACGTCCCTATGATAGCTGATGTAACACGTCCCTATGATAGCTGATGTAACACGTCCCTATGATAGCTGATGTAACACGTCCCTATGATAGCTGATGTAACACGTCCCTATGACAGCTGATGTAACACGTCCCTATGATAGCTGATGTAACACGTCCCTATGATAGCTGATGTAACACGTCCCTATGATAGCTGATGTAACACGTCCCTATGATAGCTGATGTAACACGTCCCTATGATAGCTGATGTAACACGTCCCTGTGATAGCTGATGTAACACGTCCCTATGACAGCTGATGTAACACGTCCCTATGACAGCTGATGTAACACGTCCCTATGATAGCTGATGTAACACGTCCCTATGATAGCTGATGTAACACGTCCCTATGATAGCTGATGTAACACGTCCCTATGATAGCTGATGTAACACGTCCCTACGACAGCTGATGTAACACGTCCCTATGATAGCTGATGTAACACGTCCCTATGATAGCTGATGTAACACGTCCCTATGACAGCTGATGTAACACGTCCCTATGATAGCTGATGTAACACGTCCCTGTGATAGCTGATGTAACACGTCCCTATGATAGCCGATGTAACACGTCCCTATGATAGCTGATGTAACACGTCCCTATGATAGCCGATGTAACACGTCCCTATGATAGCTGATGTAACACGTCCCTATGATAGCTGATGTAACACGTCCCTATGATAGCCAATGTAACACATCCCTATGACAGCTGATGTAACACGTCCCTATGATAGCTGATGTAACACGTCCCTATGATAGCCAATGTAACACATCCCTATGACAGCTGATGTAACACGTCCCTATGATAGCTGATGTAACACGTCCCTATGATAGCTGATGTAACACGTCCCTATGATAGCTGATGTAACACGTCCCTATGATAGCCGATGTAACACGTCCCTATGATAGCTGATGTAACACGTCCCTATGACAGCTGATGTAACACGTCCCTATGACAGCTGATGTAACACGTCCCTATGACAGCTGATGTAACACGTCCCTGTAATACGGTACATTATCGTACTGAAGGAAGGCAATTATTAACGCCGGAAGGGCACGAATCGCCGGATGCTTCTGCCACTGAAAGACAATAATAATAATGTTTCTTGTCAAGTGTGTCGTCGTTTCCATGCCCAGTGTGTAATTATATGTTTACCTCTACCCTGTGTGCATACACACAGTGATTCTCAACCAGGGGTAAATTTACCCCTTTTGGGTAAAAAAATTGCGTGGCAAGGGTAAATATTTTTGTGCCAAACCTGGATTTCTTTTTTCCTGACCTTGTTTTTCTGTCCCTTTACGATGGCGATAATTTTTTTGTATGGAAGGGGTAAATGGAGAGATACATCAAGCCGAGGGGGTTGATGATGGAGGAAAAGTTGAGAATCCCTGGCATATAGGGACAGAGATGTGCTCGCGGTAACTTTAAAAACAATTCTTGTATTCTGTCGGCTCCATTTTTCAGTAGTTTACATCTGTGACCTCTTTTTCCTGCTTCAGGTACTCTGAAAATATTCTTTATTTATTCTTATATGTCTTATTGTGATCTTACACATGATAATCATGTCTAGTCTGGCTAGGATTACTCTATCATCACCTATCCAAACATAGACCCGTCTTGGCTACACTTGTCTAAACAAGCATCCGTCTTGGCTACACTTGTCTAAACAAGCACCCGTCTTGGCTACACTTGTGTAAACAAGCACCCGTCTTGGCTACACTTGTCTAAACAAGCACCCGTCTTGGCTACACTTGTGTAAACAAGCACCCGTCTTGGCTACACTTGTCTAAACAAGCACCCGTCTTGGCTACACTTGTGTAAACAAGGACCAGTCTTGGCTACACTTTTCTAAACAAGGAGCCGTCTTGGCAACGCTTCACACCTGGTTACCGACCGAATTATCCTCTCAGCAGAAACTAGTCTGTGTCAAGGACAATACACATCGAGATGTGTATGCCTCTCAGTATACACATGCTATTAGCTTATTTAAACCCCAATTTTAGGGATTAAAGTATTCTTGATTGGTGGTGAACAAGCGACTAATATCTAATTAACTAGAAACATTAAGATAAACTGCTAGGAACTAGAAATGTTGATATTAATCGAATTTATATATTTGCATCCTAGTTCTAGTTCCCAGAACTAAGGATATACACCGATACGAAAGATGTATTTAGGTACGTAAATATCCAGGGCTTTCTTAAATAATTACTTTAAGAACTAAAATAATCTTGATGTTAGTGTAAAAGAGATGTCGATAATTTGTAAATTATTATTGTTTTAGAGGTAGATTATTATTATTATTATTATTATTACTATCATTATTATTATTATTATTATTATTATTATTATTATTATTATTATTATATTATTATATTATTATTAATCATATTATTTTATTTTACTATCATTATTATTATTATTATTATTATTATTATTATTATTATTATTATTATTATTATTATTATTATGTTAGGTTAGGTTAAGTTTGGAAAGGTAGCTCCTGTTCATTGGATCAAGAGCCTTTCATCAACCTCAAGACATCCGTACTCCCCAAGTAAGAGGAATAAATTAAGGGCAAAGATTCCTAAACCCGTGTGGGCGGTTGTGGAGGCTTGACCTACCGTGGGCTTTGTCGCCGCCCAGTTTATGACCAGTTATGCTGAATATAAACTAACAGGCATACACCTCTTGGTGTATATACACGCCGAATATATATACAGTTTTCGATGCGTATAGGCTGACCGAAATACAATTCTCAGTGTATATACATTATTAGACATACAACTCTCGGTGTATATACACTGACAAACATACAACTCTCGGTGTATATACAATTACAAACATACAACTCTCGGTGTATATACACTGACAAATATACAACTCTCGGTGTATATACGCTGACTAACATAGAACTCTCGGTGTATATACACTGACAACCATACAACTCTCGGTGTATATACAATTACAGACATACAACTCTCGGTGTATATACACTGACAAACATACAACTCTCGGTGTATATACACTGACAAACATACAACTTTCGGTGTACATACACTGACAACCATACAACTCCCGGTGTATATCTGGCCAATCTGGCAATCTGGAGAGAGTTCCGGGGGTCAACGCCCCCGCGGCCCGGTCTGTGACCAGGCCTCCTGGTGGATCAGAGCCTGATCAGCTAGGCTGTTACTGCTGGATGCACGCAATCCAACGTACGAGCCACAACCCGGCTGGTCAGGTACCGACTTTAGGTGTTTGTCCAGTGCCTGCTTGAGGACAGCCAGGGGTCTATTGGTAATCCCCCTTGTGTATGCTGGGAGGCAGTTGAACAGTCTCGGGCCCCTGACACTTATTGTATTGTCTCT